GAAGAGAAAATGGAAAATATTTTCACAATGAGTTGCTCTCTTTAAATGGTTGTCAGGCAACACCCACGGGTAATAGTCCCTTAATGACTTTATGGTGCAATCCTTTTCCCTCAGAAACTCTCTCCTGAGAAGCAGCCCAGATGGATTTTGCTGGACATTGTCTCCTTAACTGCCCCTGTACCTAGCCAGCATGACATTGATATGGTTGGGAGTCAGTTTGTTTCTCCATTCTGTGAGGGGGAGGTGGCCTTGGATAAAGGGTGTGCTCCTGACTGAGGAAGGTTCAAACACAGGTGAAGTCCTGTTTTATTTCAGCACAGTTTCCTAAGGGCAAGGTACTGAGCTTTTTAAAAACAAATTTTGCTTTGGCTCTTTTTTTTTTTTTTTGGTATCATTAATGTACAATTTCGTGAGCAACATTGTGATTACTAGATTCCCCCCATTATCAAGTCCCCACCACATACCCCATTACTGTCACTGTCCATCAGCATAGTAAGATGCTACAGAGTCACTACTCGTCTTCTCTGTGCTATACTGCCTTCCCCGTGCCACCCCACTACATTATGTGTGCTAATCGTAATGCCCCTTATTCCCCTTCTCCCTCCCTCCCTTCCCACCCACCCTCCCCAGTCCTTTTCCCTTTAGTAACTCCTAGTCCATTCTTGGAGTCTGTGAGTCTGCTACTGTTTTGTTCCTTCATTTTTTCCTTTGTTCTTATACTCCACAGATGAGTGAAATCATTTGATACTTGTCTTTCTCTGGCTTATTTCACTGAGCATAATACCCTCTAGCTCTATCCATGTCGTTGGAAATGGTAGGGTTTGTTTCTTTCTTAACAGCTGAATAATATTCCATTGTGAATATGTACCACATCTTCTTTATCCGTTCATCTACTGATGGACACTTAGGTTGCTTCCATTTCTTGGCTATTGTAAATAGTGCTGCAATAAACATAGGGGTGCATATGTCTTTTTCAAACTGGGCTACTGCATTCTTAGGGTAAATTCCCAGGAGTGGAATTCCTGGGTCAAATGGTATTTCTATTTTGAGTCTTTTGAGGAACCTCCATACTGCTTTCCACAATGCTTGAACTAGTTTACATTCCCACCAGCAGTGTAGGAGGGTTCCCCTTTGTCCACACCCTTGCCAGCATTTGTTGTTCCCAGTCTTTTCTATGTTGGCCATCCTAACTGGTGTGAGGTGATATCTCATTGTTGGCTCTTTTTTTTTTTTTTTTTATTTTTTTTCCCCTCAAATGTACAGGTTTATGTAGTTTATGTACTCTATTAACATGAATAGTTTCATGTCCATTTTTTTTCTTAATTTTTTAAGCAACTTTGTACCATACAATTCACCCATTTAAATTGCACAATTGAATGTTTTCCAGTTTATTAGAAGGTTGTGCAACTATCAACCTAACCCAGTTTTAGAGCATTTTTATCCCTGCTGAAAAAAATCCCATACCCATTAGCAGTCACATCTCATTCCTGCCCCACCCCCGACGCCCAGCCCTAGGCAGCCACCAGTGGGTTTTCTACCTGTACAAATTTGTCTATTCCAACCATATCCCATAAATGAAGTCATTCTTTTTGTGTGTGGCTCTTTTCACTTAATATTTTCAGCATGTGTTACAGTGTGTATCAATACTTCATTCCTTTTCACTGTCTAATGCCATCATGTTGTGCAGCAAGCCACTCTGTAGACCCCCTTGTCAAGTGATGGACATTTGAGTTGTTTCTACTTTTTGTCTCATGTGAATAATGCCATTGTGGACATTTGTGTACAAGTTTCTGTGTGGGCATATGTGTTCACTTCCCTTGGTTTTGTACCTAGGAGTAGAATTGCTGAATTGTATGTAACTCACTTTTTTGAGGAACTGCCAAACTTTTCCAAAGTGGCTGCAGTGGCCTATATTCTCACCAGAATTCTATGAGGGTTCCAGTTTATCTGTGTCCTCCAAATCTTGTTGTTTTCTTTTGACTGTATCTAGTCTACTGGGCATGAAGTAGTATCTTGTGTTTTGATTTGCATGTCCCTAATGATTAATGATGCTGAGCATCTTTTAAGGTGATTATTGGGCATTTGGTTGTCTTCTTTGGAAAAATGTCTGTTTGTATCCTTTGCCTACCTTTTTGATTGCATGGTTTGTTCTTGTTTGCTACTGAATCATAAGAATTCTTTATACATTCTATGTATAAAGCTCTTAGAAAAATATTTGTGAATATTTTCTCCTGTGTCTTTCCTGAGAGTGTCCTGTGTCCTTTGAAACAGAAGTTTTTATTTTGATGGAATCTACTATACCTTTTTTTTCTTTATTGTCATTTGTACTTTTGGTGTCCTAAGAATTCACTGTGTGACTCAAGGCCATGAAGATTTATTGTATTTTAACTTGGAAGTTATAAAGCCTCTAAAGAGTCATACAGCTTTAGTTCTTATATTTAGGTCTTCATTCCATTTGAGTTAATTTTGTGTATGGTGTGAGGTAGGGGTCAGACTTCATCGTTTCCATATGGAACTCTGGTTATCCCAGCTCCATCTGTTGAAAAGACTCTTCTTTCTCCAGTGAATTTTTTTGGCGTCCTTGTCAAATAGAAATATTCTACTAAACCAAACATCAGAACCCTTGGGCTTTTTGAACAACTCAACACTTTCATGAATGTGTTTGAACAGTTGGGTCTCTCTAGCAAGTGATGTGCTATCCTTAAAGTTGACTCTGCATTTGGAAGGACGGACCCTGAACTTTGTAACCTGAAATTACAAAATCTGTAAACCTAGTGTCTGCTCTGTGGGTCCATCAGTTCATGGCCGAGAACAACTGTTCCTGGTCATCTGTGGATGGAGGCAGGACTTTGAGCCATCAGCTGAAGAGCAAGTTTTCCAAGAAGTCATCTCAAAGGAGATTTAAAAATCACTAGCTGTCCTGGTAACTGTGTTGGCCATACTGAACTATTTGTTGGTTCTGTGACTACAGATAGCTCCATAATGCTTAGAGCATCATGCTGGAAGGGCCCTGCCATGAGAGCAGCTGGAAGGAGGGTTTTGCAGTGCCTCATCTGCCTGCAGGGCACAGCAGTGCAGAATGAAGACGGCAGTTAATGGAGGTGCTGAGCTGTGTTCCAGGAGGAAAATCCATGGGAGTGTTTCACTCTGCCTAGATAGTAATGACATTGGAAGAAAAAAACGAGCATTTCCCTTTGACATGAATAATAAAAAAATCAGCACTGAAAGCCTTTGATGGTCCTGTACCTTGAGTTTATTAGTGGGAAAACCTGGGGTGCAGTTGAAGGTGGGAAACTACTGAAGTAACTTAAAACCCAGAGTGGTTAGGTTGCTTTCTCTAGCTATATCCAGAATATGTTGCTTGGGCATCTTTAATTTTTAAGGAGCAAGTTTTTGTTTGTTGTTTAGTTTATCCTTCAAGTACCTGTTCTGCCTTTTCCCCTTCGTGGACCTGTCTTTTCTGAGCAGCTGGATGCTGTTTCCATCAGTGCCCTGTTCATATTCTGATCATATTTGAGCCAAGAGGAAGGGTTCTTATAAACAGTAAAGAGGATAGTTATTCAATGTTTATTTCTGGGTAATTCTCAGAATATGCTGTCTCAGAGCTTGGATTTCCATCAGGTAGGCTTACAGGTGGGGTGCTTGCTTTCAGGGACATTTGGGAGCAGCCCTATGGTAGATATGGGGCAGAGGGGCCCGTCCCCTCTGGCCAGGGTCCCACCCAGAGGCATGCTCAATTTTTAGATGGGTTGAAGTTGTCCAAGACCCTCTGGGAACAGTCTGAACTCTTTCATGGTCTGGCCACAAGAGCGTCTTTTATGAAGTGGTGGCTTTTGATAGAACTTAGTAGTTCTCTTTGTTAGATTAGACTTAGTAAAATTGCAGCCATTGGGTACAAGGTCTTTCCAGATTAAAGTACACCCCTCCCTTCTCCCCTCCTGGAGTTGGGTCCCTCCCTCTGGGCTCAAGGCCTCCTTCTGGCTCTTCCCTCCTCTCCAGCCTGAGTGTGCAGCCCTGGTGGCCAGGCGGAACAGGGCCTTGGCTCAGCTGTTCCTGACCCTGCGACCTTGGGGAAAGAAGAACACTAGAACTCAGAAAGGCAGTCTGTGCATGGACAAGCTTGTGTCTGTCTTCTGGTGGCTTGCGGGCTTGGTGAAGAGCCTTGCCGTGACAGCTTGCCATGTGAGGGTGGCACCTTTTGGTGACTTCCTCCTGAACATCTGGCCAGTCCTCTCCCTTGTCAGACCTCCTCCGCCTGGCCCTGAGGGCTCACCTCCTCCTACCCAGCAACCAGGGCTCCTCCTCCTCTGGGTCCCTTTGCACTTTCCCCTGTTTCCTCCTAATTATTCTTGGGTTAGAAGGCCTGTGCTCCCCATCTTCATGTCTAAGCCCTTCCCCCTGAGACCAGAAGCTGCCCCCTACCCCGTGGAAGGCACTGGCCCTCCTGTTGTATACTTTGCTTGGCATTTTCTGTGTCCCTCAAACACTCCATGCTTTCTCTGTAATGTTCTTTTAAAATATGTTCTATTTTCTGTTGAAAGATAAATTATTTGAGGGGGAACAAAATATTTTCCAGTTTCTCTGTATTCTCCTGAACATTGTGGGTCCAGCATGTACTAGGTAGTTTCCAGATAGATAAGAAAGTATTGTTTTTGATTTGCAATTAAGCCTAATCTAATCCTTCCTTAGTTAATCCTTGTTGCTTTTACGATGTATAAAATTTACCGTCACATGTTCGTTGTATTAGATTGTGTCCTATCGCTGGAACAAAATTTAAACCTGCTGGTGAAGACCAGAACCACTGCAGCATGCCTGCCTTCTGGGTCCCGCCCTGTGTGTGGAGGCTTGGTCTGGGTGACTCACGGGCCCTGTTGTGCCCTGAGCAGGGCCCTTGTGGCAGAGGCACCTGCAGTCTTTCTCCTCCAGCCAGCCAGCAAGTTTTTCCCAGGAACCTCAGCTACTAAAATGCTTTTTCTGACTTCTCTTCTCTTCATGTGCAGGCAGTGTGAGACACTCAGGATAGGAATGTTCCACTTAAGGACTTGTGCTACTAAACTGAGGCCGCTGACGGCCTCCCAGACTGTGAAGGCACTTTCACACAGCAGAGCAGCAATGAGGACGTTTGGGCAGGTGCACTGCTATGCAGCCCCTGTTGCTGCTGAACCCTTCCTCAGTGGGACTAGCTCCAACTATGTGGAGGAAATGTACTCTGCCTGGCTGGACAACCCCAAAAGTGTGCACAAGGTAAGGCTCACAGAAGTCGTGTCCTCATTTGATGTCACTGCCCGATGTTGCCTGGCATCCAGGTAAGTGTGTGGTCTGAGGAGGCCAGGCACTGGGAGCCACAGACCCAAGCCCTCTGCACCAGCCCAGCTTGGCCAACACTCAGGCCTCACAGGAACTGCCTCTCCGGAGGGTGTTCCCTCTTGCTTGCTGTGCTTCGCTCCCCAAGACAGACGACGTGTCTAACCCACCAGGGTGTGAAGGAGCATGTGCCTGCATCCAGGGACTCACAGGCCTGCTACAGGACGGAGATGCTGAATGGGGAAACGGACAGGAGGGATGGCCCTGCAGGATGCTCCCCGGCCCACTCTCCTATGAAAGCCTTTGGCCGTCACGTGGAATTGCTGTGTGAATGACATCTTAGGACCCTGTTCTCGTGTCTTTCTCCTGATTGGAAAGCAAATTCTATGCAGGCTTCTTCCTGCCCCCTCTGTGCAGCTGGAAGGTGCTCCTCAGACTGTTCCTCACACCTCTGTTTGATTGGGATGAGCCCAGTGGCAGAACTCCTTCACAGCACTTTGTTCAGGAATGCTTGGTTTTCATGTTGGGCAGCTGGCCCACAGCAAGGGTGGGAGGGTAGCACTCTTCTGTTCCAGTCACAGGCTGCAGGGAGATTTGTAGGGGGCTGTGTGTGTGAGGGGCTTAGGTCTGCGCTCAGGAGGTACCCAGTGGAGGCTGGCCATCACCACTGTTGACTTGGCTTCCTCCTTACTTGTGAATCTGGGGTCTTGTCACCAAAAGGTGGTCTGTTTCTTTGGGGTCGCTGAAAATAAGCTGTACATCAGTGCTGCTGACATTTAAGATGGGCACATTTGTGTGGCTGCTGGAGCCACCAGCTCTGTGTCATCAGAAGCCAACTCTTGGCCTGAACCTCATTGCTCAGCAAAGGGGGACATCTAGCTGGGTCCTTCCCTGTTTCCACGGCAGCCTGGAAGCTACATTGCTGACTGGTAAGGTGAGGCCTGGCTCCCTGGGAATGGGTCTGGGGCCTCTTGCGTTGCCTGCAAACACATGGACTGCCAGAAGAGGAGCCCTAAGGGGAGGCCTACCCAGCATGGGCACATGAGGTCCCACAGGCAGCTACTGCGGGCTGTTCCTAGAGGAAGCTCCACCCAGAGGTTCTGGGTCACATGGCCCTTCCTTTTCCCAAACATGACACCTTTGTGACAGCCAAGCATTCTGTTATGTCTGGCCTTAGAGAGACCAGCTTCTGGGTGGCCTCGCTCCATTCCCTGTGAGGTAGCAGGGGCATCTGTGCCCAGGGCCAGCACCTGGCAGGATGTGCAGTAAGCTTTGTGGCACAGAACTCTGAAAGGCAGGCTGGACCTGCCACAGCATCTCCTGCTGGAAGCTTATTGCAGAGGCCCTCTGGAGGTACAATCCTAGGCCAGTGACGCAGAAATGATGCCAATTTTCCATGGGAAGATTTTTCCACTCCTGAAGTTTATTGGGTTATTATCATTATTAGTATTTGTATTAATATCATTACCATTACAGTTTTTAAATTAAGACTTAACTGCTTTGAGCAGTGTTTAGGTTCACAGCAAAATTGAGAGGCAGGCAGAGTCCCCTGCCTTCCTTGCCTTTCCGTGCAGTTGCCCCTGTCTCCCAGAGCCCTAACATTGGTTACTGGGGGGGCTGCACTGCCATGCCATCACCCAGAGCCCAGGCTGCCTCCCAGAGGCTCACTCCCACTGGGGTGTGCTGTGGGCTTGGACGGCTGTAGTCCATACTAGGTGGTTGCTGCCCTGACAGGACTGTGCCCCAACTGTTCTTGAAAAGCATCTTTCCCACATGGTGTCAAAGAAGGTGGCACAGTTGACGGGGAGGCCCTTGGGGCCGTGGGGGTGTCTGTGTGTCCTGGGCTGGCATCTCATGTGGCGTGTACCAACAGGACCCTGCTGGGGAAGAGCCAGGGGAGGATGGGGCTCCAGGCTCAGCAGGCAAGGTGGGCACCCAATGGACGGACTGTGCAGGGGTGTGGGTGTGGCCCTCAGAGAACAACTTTAAGTTTAATGAGAGGACACGTGCAGGTTGGTGCCTTTGGCCCAGGCTCTCTGCACTGCCATCTGGGTAGGGAACATGGCATCTTCCAGAAGGAAAAGGACAAGATGTGTAAACTGTAGGCATGCAACAGGCCCCCTCCTCCCTATCCCAGCAAAGTGAAATCAGTCACCTCTCTAAGCTGATTCAGGCCTAAACCCAAGGTTGCTTATTCTCTAAGGGGCACCATCAGGTTTTCGGAGGCATCAGTGACCCAAGAAAGAATTTAGAACATTTCACTTTGTTTAGAATGCTTCATTTGCACTCTGGTTTTGGAACAGATACTTTAGGTTGAGATAGTAAATTAGATTTAAGATTCCCATTGATCATGTGTTGGGTCTCCCATTTGCATGGCTTGCGGTGTGGGGCTCCTTGTCCCAAGGGTGATCCTGTCTCCCTTCTTGTGCATAGCATGTGGGCAGCTACAGGACAGCCTTCCATATGCGTGCTCTCCTGCCTGCTGCACTCTGCTTTCCTACTGGTAGGTTAAAAATGTTAGCGTATCTCCAAACGTGGAGTAGAGAGGAGTATAAATGAACCATGAGGAGACCCACCCTCGCTACAGCAGTTCTCTACAGTTTGTGGGGCCTTAAAAACCTCTCCCTCTGCCCACTTTTCTGGTTGTTGGTGTATTTTTTGGTGGGGCCCACTGGAGTATTTTAAAACAGATCCCAGACCTGAGTCATTTCTTCCATAAATGCATTGGTGTGGCCCTAACAAGGGAATGTTTTCTTAACCGCGTGCTGGGTGGCACCTGACGCAAGAGCCCCAACTTTGTCCTATCTCTTCGGGCTCAGCCCCACCATCCTTCAAATCCTTCAAGCCTGGGGAGCCCAGCTGCCCCTTGCCTGCACGTGAAGCCCAGGTTGCCGCTTTCTGTGAGAGCCTGGCCAGTGGAGAGGCTGGCACCCTGTGCCAGTGCTGCGTGGCCTGTGCCTGCCATTCTGCAGCTTGGAAGTTGCTGTGACTGCCTGCAAAAGTGGCTGTGGTTTGCCCAGTGCTGTGCTGGCTTTGGGGGAAGCCTGAATCTGGGGCCCATGGTGCACTTGGTGGGATTTCAGGGGTCACAGCTGTTGAACAACCTTTGGGAACTGCCGACATCAGGAATCTCAGCCACAGTGGCTTTTTGTATTAGGTCAGGTAATGAGCTGAGAGTCCCCTTGCTCCAGTGTCTTACTCTAACAGAGAGGGAGAATTGCCCCCTGTGTACCAGAATGTGCCACAGTGCCTTCTCTCTGGGCAGTGGTGTGGGCTCTGCCAGTCCTGTTGGAGGGCTGGATACGTGACTATCAGGAGGCCTGGTGCAGGGCCCTGAGCTCACAGGCTGGGGGTACCAGCTGAACAGCCATCCGCAGAGAGGGCCCGGTCAGTTCTGAGGGAGCGCCAGCTATACTGAGCTTTGAAAGGTAAGGAAGGGGCTGGATGAGGGACAGGCTGTCTGCTCAGGAGGAGGGGCTGGGACAGGGTTGGGGAACCCTGCTCTAGCACTTCTGGGCTCAGGGGTTTCATGCCAGGAACCAAAGGCAGCCAGCGAAGATCAGAAATCTGAGCTGCAACCTAAGTGGAAAGAAAGGTTCCAAGACCAAGCAGGACATTTGTTTATTTTGTGAAGTGGATGGGAGAGTGGACCCCTCAGCAGTCAGAGGGCATTTGGAGGGTGTCAGACCAGCTGCACTGGGGGCCTAGTGGGTGGGGTGTTGTGTGTGGGAGTGAGGTGTCTTGATGAGTACCCTTCAGCGAGTAAGCAAAACTTTAAGCAGAAACAATTTTTTAGTGCTGCCAGTGATCAAAGGACTGAGGACAGATGAAAATAACCTACTCCCCCAGGGAACACAGGTGGCTGTCCTCAACTCCTGGCTGGCACTTTGGAACGGCTGCCCCATCCACCTTCCCACTCCTCCCTGCATCAGACTGGCCAGGCCACCAGGTCTGAAGGTCTTCAGGCTCTGGGCTGCTGTCTGGGATGGGTTGTGAGCTTGGCCTTCTCTAAGATCGGGACTTACAGGCCCATCTCCAAATCCTCAGCAGCAGCTTGGTAAGGCTGCACAGGCTTCCTCATGGCCATGTGGGTCTGGGTGGAGGAACACTGCAGGGCAGTGCAAACTCTCAGAAGCTGCTGAGAAGGCCATCACATGAGTCCAGGGGCCTGCTTCCCAGGAGCGTTCTGTAGCAGACCACCCCCAACCCAGCCACTAAGAACACCACCAGTGGAGGCTTTCTCGAGATTCCTGGCTCTGTAACTGAGGCTCCCTGCAGACTGCCTTCATCCCTAGCATGTGGTGCCAGCTGTTTGCCAGGCCCTGCCATCTGCCCGGGGGCTGGAGTGACCCCTCATAGGTCCTCAGACTCTCCAAGGGGAGAGGTAAGACCATGGCCTTGGAGGCCTGGCCAGAGCTCACACCACCACTGCTGCCCATGGCCTTGGCGGTCAGACCCATGGGCCCTAGCCCTGATGGGTATTTGCACAAGCGTGGGAGGATTGGCCACTGGGCAGTCCCCAGGGCCCTACTGTAGTGGTCTGACGGCCCCCTAGTTTCAGGGGAGCCATGTAATACCCTTGTGCCATTGCAGACTCTCTGGTGTGGTGGGGCTGAGGCAGTGGAGGCTGGAGACGCTCCCTCATCTGTGCTCAGCTGCTCTCTGTAGACAGCACAGCACTGTTCAGTTGGCATCGGTGCCTTAGGGACACCCTGGTATGGCCCCAGCTTCAGCCCTCCCACTACAAGACAGTCCCTGCCCCTGCTGGTGCCCACCTCCCCAGACTGCCCTCCACTGCAAAGCTCTGCAGGTGGGGGGGTCAGGTACTCGTCCTTGTGGCGCCTTCTCTTGGAGCCTGCTTAGCTCTAAAGCCGACTCTTTCATGAAGTTCTTTAGGGATGGGCAGTTGACAGCAGCCCCTCACCGTGACCTCAGACCCC